GATGGGACACACATCAAAGGCATTGGGGTGAATTGTCTTGCCCAAGGACACAACAACTGAGACAGCTGGACAGGGGCTTGAACTGGCGACCTTCCGGTTCCAGGACGACTACCCTAACCACTCTGCCACAGCCGCCCCAAAGGTCTTAAAAGGTCTTTAAGAGGTCTTAAATTGACCTTASTGAAACCYGCATGAACCCTGTATCCAGTCAGCAACACTTGATTTTATTTGTTTAAGGTGACGTTACTGATGTCCTTTTGCCTTGACGTCATGTTAACGCTCACCTGGATGCTCAAGAGCAGCAAACTGAAATAACACCAGCTAATTCTGGAGGTGGTCACACTGATGATGATCAGTTAGTCAGCAGTATCTGGCTGATACTGAATCTTTAAATCCTGTGGGTGTTGTCTTTCATTTACAGGTTTTCTCGTTTGGCTTTGTTTTTGTTGTATAAAGGATATGGTGGAAACTGTTTTTGATCACTTGAGGTCAWATTAAAATAATTTTAGAACCTTGAAATGACCACTTCAATTTTATTATGTTTTGATGTATAAAACCTTTAAATTGAAAGTGGATGGACTATATTTTGTTTTCATGACTTTAACTGTAGTTTGCATGTATACTCTTTTCAGACTGTGTTAACTGGAGATGCCCACTTAAACCTGTCTTTCTTGGTGGATTTGACGGACGTTAGCCTGGAGCTTCTAGACGGCCCAGCAACCACTGAATATAGGCAATCATTGGCTAGGTAAGGCTTATCTGGCTCCTTCAATTCCATGAAGCATGAACAGTGAACATTGTATGATTATTGTGCTTATTTGTAGATAGCTGTGTTCCAACCTTTAGCGTTGAATTTTAGGTATAGGTGTAAAACAAATGTTTGCATTTAGGTAAAGGATAGTATTGAAATGTTGAATATTTGGCGGAGTGCTAGCTGAGATCTAATCCAGCACACTCTGAATGCTACTCACAAATGTAAGCTAACCGCTAATGCTAATTTTAGATAGTGCTATATTTCAGCCTGTCTTAAGACTTACAAAGCTGAAAACTGATATAGTTGTAGCCGAGAAWGAGCTTTGCAAATTCTAAATGCCAAATTAAAATTCAAGATTCAAAATTACTCTGTCATTTATTGACATGTCAAGCTAAAATTTGGTAAGGTAGTAGCTAAACRAAATCTCTAATACATGCTAAAAGCTAATTCAAAATACAAGATGACTGCCAAAGCTAATTTTGACAGAATGGCTTTACCTTAGACATTTTTAGCCATATTGACCTGAAATTTGATATTGTGGTCACTGACAGTAATCTCAAACACACGGCAAAGGCAAATAAAAAACCCAAGATGGCCACCTTAGCTGAAAGGGAAAAATGAAAATATTTCAACCATTTTTAGACATCTTAGGCTCAAATTTTGTGTGATGGCAGCTGAGAGTAAACGAAACACACTGTAAATGCTAATCACAAGTTTAAGCTAACCACTAAAGTCTGTAATTMAGCCACTTTTAGACATACAAAGCTGAAAACTGGTATAGTGGTAACGAATAACAAGCTTTAACAAATTTTGAATGTTAAATAAAAATTCAAGATGGCCACCAGAGCTCATTTGAAACTGCCACCATAAGGGCCTTCTGACGGCCAGCTGCAGTGGTATTTTTAAGTCCCACTCCTCATATAAATATACCCTAATATTATACAATCTCATGTTACACTTATTGACAGTCTCACAACCAAGTGGGGAGGTTGTGTATTGATGGTACCACATCCTGAGTGGGCAGCCAAACAGAAAAAAACACAATTATTTTGGCTTCAATTTTGAATAGAAACAGAGATGATTTGTCACTCCTAATTAACGTTGATGGTCTGGAATTAATGAGCTAAAATTTTAATGACTGTGAAGTATTTTAGTCAATAATTTTTATTGTTGAATATCAAATGATGCTAATTTAAAGTTTTCTGTTTACTTGTCTTGCAAAGGTTTGACTTCATGAAATCCAAGGTTCTTTTTGAAAGTTTCTCTGATGGTTCAAAGTCTGTCAACTTGGTGTCTCACTCCCTGCTGGCATTTGACACCCGCTACACTGAGCCAAATATGAGTGCAGAGGAGACGAGACAAAATGTGTTTGACTGTATTTTGCAGCCCTCCAAAACAGGCAGTAACCAAGCATCTCTGCAGCTGGAACTGCATTACAGGTAACGTTACACAGTAGAACTTTCAAGCTACAAGCAAGAAAATTTATTTTCAAATATAGGAAAAAGGTTTAACTGAAATTATGTTGTCCACAGATCTACACGTGAATCGTCGTGCTTCACGGTGGTCCTCAATAACCTCAGGGTTTTTCTTATATTTGACTGGCTGGAAATGGTGCGAGACTTCCTGCAGGTGCAGGTTCATAGGGCCTYTGACACTGCTGAGTCTCAAAAGTATTGGCACAGTAACATCGATTGTGAATCAGACACTMCTGGGGCTGTCATTCCAAAGACAGTGAAGAGTGGAGTGGTCACTAAGAGGTCCACAGTACCGGTCACCCAAAACCGCTGCCTGGAGGTGAAAATCAATGTGACAGGTGAGAGAATGATAACAGATCACAGCGTGCTTTTGGTAGGATGACAGTATCTGGAGTTCCATCTTACTGATGAATGTGGCATGATGACATATTTTTGTGTGTGAGCCACTATCAACTGTAGGTGTATATGTAAGCCCATGACATAACAGAAGAGGGCAGCCTGAGGYGGCCCATTCCCTGGCAAGGTTCAATTTCTAATGTATGGAACTGGTTTGGCTTTGTAACGTCTTGACTTTGAGCAGATCTAGGTTATTTTCAAGATGTACAACAGCAAARTGAAGACAACACATGGTAACTACAAACTTGTTTAATCACTAGAAACACAGCCATACACCAGATTAAGATGAAAGCCAGAATATGGGGACCAAGGCCATAACATCAGCTATAGCAAACCCTGCACCAGCAAATGGTGGAAACAAATCTACTTAGCCGAGAATCATCGATGCACTCAGTCTGTCCCTGAAGGCACTGTCACACTATAACATTTTAGACAATTTAAGTCCACTTACAAAAGTTTTATGAGTATTTAGCTCATTTTAGCTATATATTCAATCTAACTGTTAGCATTACAGTATGTTTAAGTACAAAAGAGGCTTCCAGTAGATTTTTTTTTAAATTCCATGTTCAGCATCGACAGCTGTAGTGTTGGACAAACTAATTCATACCTTGGCACAAGTTGTCTAAAACATTAGTTTGACAGGGCAATTAAGAGTGGCAAAGTAAGCACTGGAAGGAGRTAATGTGGCATATTGCATTACTAAAGATATGCTGCCACTCCACATTGTGGAAAAGCTTGGTTTCAATATGCACCTTACTATTTTACCTCATCACTACCTCTGACTGTGACAAAGGGCTAACTGAAAAACACTTCCATCTTGAGACCCTGAACTCTGCTCATCAAGGTTTCTGACTGTTTCATGACGCCTCCTGCTCCTGTGTGAATGATGAGTTTTCACACGGCTGGATACTCAGCTGTGATCGTCTCTGGTAAATCAGACACTAGCTTATCAGCAATGTTAAGAACCTTGGCGCGTTAAATCTTACCCACGGATTCAACTAATATCAGTGTTTCTGGGTTTGTGACAGTCTCTTTCTGAATCCTTTTTGTTGAGGAATATGTYTTGGGCCGAATCTGGTCTCATACCTCTCGCTGGAGCCAGAAAATGAGCTTTTGTCTGATTCATAGATTTCTGATAGGTGGGRCAAACTTGTTCTGTAGGAAAATTCCCGTGTCCTCTGTTGGTTAGCTCTTATTTCCTGTTTTTCATAATGATCCACTGTTGTAATCTCTTCAGCGCAGGGGAGAAAACTCACTAAAGCCCATCATTCTAAATCATCCAAATGCTGAGTTCTTCCTGTGAGCATCTTGTGGATAAAGTAACAGATGTGTCCTTTGGTTTTGTGCCAAGAGAGTTCCAAGGATTGCTTCTTGGTGTACCTCCATTTTTTTCCCACATTCGGTCTCTTCCAAACAGCCTTACCTCTTTGTGGCAGTGTCGTCTCATCATGTAAAGAAATCACCTCCTTAAGACAATGGGCCTCATGCAAGAACCGTTCGTACGCACAGATTTGTTCTTAAATTGTGCGTACGAGTGATTTAGGAG